TTTTCCAGTGATTAGGGAAAAAAAATTCCAAGTATAATATTAGCGAACATTTTTGTAAGAAATAAAGTCAAGTAGCAAATGTTATGGAGTCGATGGCATAGCGGTTGCGATTACTCGATTAGCGACCCATGGTTTGGTCCCCTGGAGGCATCATAAATCGGACTGGTTTGGAGTTGAATCCAGGATGAGGAAGCCTACGACGAAGTTCACGACCTTCCTGGCAAAGAGCACAAGGGTGGCAGAAGATATGAGTTAAAAAGTCACAAGTTGACTCACAATGCTCACGGCGTTCCTCATCCTCGACAAAGCCACCATGGCACCCACATGATCTGGTGGCTGCTTCACAGTTACCCTGCAAAGGAAATAGCTCTTAGAACGTGTTTCCCAACGTCCGTTGTAGAATAAGAAATGATAGCAAGAGCTCTCCTAGGTACCATTTGTTAAAACTAATGTGATGTGGGAACTGCAGGATCTAACAGAAGCTGGATGATGTTAACCAAAATGTATGTGCGGTAAATGACTGGTCGCTAGAGAGAACAATCATGGTTTAGATGAGCCATTATAGAATGGCATGGTCAGCGAGGATCCATAAGAGTTATTTGTGGACGAGATAGAATTGATCGACGAGACATGTGGTGGAGTTAACGATAGACGGGAGATTTGTAAACCGACCCTAGAATCTAATGACTTCAGGCTGAACAGGACTAGAACAGGGTACAACAAGTGCAAGTTCAGTGTAGCATCACAGGAGGGGGATGGGGAAATGAGGATTGATACGAAAGTCATCCCAACATAGGAAACTTCAAGATCTAGGGTCTATAATCAAGAAAATGGGGAGATCGACGAGGAAGTCACACATTGTATTTGAGCGTGTATGAAATGGTGGCTCGTAACTGGTGTCCTATGTGATAAGAATGTGTCACTGAGGGGATAGAAACATCAAGTATCTTGTTATTGAACATTTATCTTCATGCGAAAAATGTAGAAAGGTAAAAGTTCAATACCCCAAGCCTCACAAAGGAGACAGAAACATCCATATAAAATATTAACATGCACTGAAACAGCTGCGAAATTTTAGGTCACACAAATGAATAGATAAAGCGTGGGGAAAGCTTTCTAACCACCAAATCTTTTGAATTCAACCACAAAGTCCCCATCTTTATTAACTTCAAGTAAATACTAAATAATGTGTGAAAACCCACACTTACAAATGATAGAACTACCAAAGTTTGCAAGCAGTCGATTTAAAAATGGAACAAATAAGAAAAAAACCTACATAAATTTGTCTAGCACCAGTAGATAAGACATGGGAGCTTGAATAAGAAATATGCAGCAAATTTAACATGCATGGATGAAATTTTAAAAAATCAGATAACATCCTTAGCATCAAAATTGAAAGAACAGCAAAACATAAATTGAAGCTGCTAGACCCAAATAAATCAAATCCTTCATTACAAAAACCAAAAGACTAGTTTATAAAACCAACATAGATAAAACACTTGATAGTATAAAAGAAAAAAAAAAGCAAGAAGACAGCCAACCTCAAGATTAAACCTCTGCCGGATAGCTGTACGGCTGGGATATGAAAACCAGGGTGCCATGCAGTTCCAGCCGAAAAAGGACTGTCCAATCAGGAATAGACCAGTGTAAGGCAAGCAGTGATTAGTAAAACTTCCAGGAGAAGACCCAATTCTCTCTGCATTGCTTCCATAGAGCACACATGGTGCCAGAGTTCCTAACAGACCTGTGCAATGCCCATGACTGGCATTTAGTATGATGAAGAGATGACAAGAAAGCAAGGAAACAGAACACATAATATCTTTAAGTATCAAGAATGAAATCCTACTGCAAAATATAACTCTAAGAGGCAACAACTTGAACCAAAATTGACTTATTCGGTGAAGCACATCGGCGAATACTCAAGAAATTGTGCCCACATATAGAACTTGTCAAGGTTGAACACAATGGAGAATGTGAATAATTATACAAGAAGGCCAGAACAAGTTAGAGAACAATTTTATAACATAAACTATGTGTCAACAAGTTAACAGTTTTGTTTTTTTTAACAGGATAGTTCATATAGTATGACTCCGTATGTCGAAGCATATGCCCGTTCCAATAAGTTTGCACCACTGGTATAGCAATTGCAGTTGTATCAAATAAAACATATAAACATTTTGGTTTCTAGAACCAATATAATGACTGATTGGACACATAAACTAAAAGATTAAGAGTCTGATACTGCCTCCTTAATAGTATCATCCTTCTTTCAAATGGTTCATCAGAAAAAGACATACAAATCTTTTCTAGAACGTGCAAACGGTTCCTTACAATGCAAACGGTTCCTTACAACTTCCATTAATTTAATCTTTTAGCGTCGAAAACAAAAGACAACTTCCCTCCCACTGTCGTCACCTCTATCCAATACATTATTCAAGCTATTCTTTTCACTGGGAAAGCTGGAAGAATATCTTTTCAAATTTACTAGACAATATCATTTGGTCAATATCTTCTTGATCACCATTAAGTCAATATCAGATAAATTCTGAACCTTCCATTGGTATGTAATTGAAAACCATTGGATAAGTAATGCATAGCAGAGCAACAAACCGATATATTGCCAGTTTGGTTCGGTTTTGATCTTACTTTTTCCTAAACCAAACAACAACAACATAGCCAGTATAATCCCACAAAGTGGCGTCTCGGAGGATACATGTACGCAGACGTTACCCCTACCCCTACCTCCGAGGTAGAAAGGCTTTTTCCAATAGACCCTCGGCCCGCTCGACATAAAACAGTTCAACATTTTCCAAAACCAAATTAACTAATGGTCATTGGCTTTTATGAATTTCAATACCAAACCAAGTCATTTCCATTAATTTCATCTTCCTCAAACACCCTAAACATATCATAAATCAATACTTTGATATAAACAACAAAAACATTCAAAGCAACAAACTTTATAAGATTGAAAACTCACAAACTTCAAAATCGCTGCTGGCAAATTCATCATTCTTCCCAAAACAAGAGCAAAGGCTAGATTCCCATTGAGCCCTACGCATGATTGGCTCCCCCACCACCGCCGTCCCAACGCTATGGCCCATAGGTAAACCCTCAGCTGTCCACCCCATCGAAACAGCAGATGAAGCTGGCTTAACCGGCTCCGCCGCAGCCGACGGAGCTGGGATTTTGCCGGAATTTGAAGAACTGGGCTTTGTGGGCTTCATTTCATCGTTTGTACCAGATTTTTGACTGGGTAGAAATGGGCTTGATTCTTCCACATTCGCCATTAGAACAGAAAATTTTCAAAAACCAAAATTGATTTTTGAATATTGTGATTTTCAAGAATTGGAGAGCGAGTTGAGGGATCTAAGAGATGTCTCAATAAGAAGAAGAACAAAAGAGGATGACAACCTCAAAGATCTCTCGATTCTATTTGAGTAAAACTCTGTGGAAATTGATAAATAGAAATAATGTCTTTTTTCTTCTTTTTTTTTTTGGGTTGAGGATGACCGTAAACAGTGGAGGAAAATTAATCTTTTCTTTCTTAATAGGCTCCAAGTCATTTTGACAGTTGATTTAGACGTGAGTTATACAGATATTAATTTATGAATTTATGTTTTATTAATTTGGCATTTAATAAGTTAGCTACACTCTAATGTTATGTATTTTATCATATTATGGTCTCGAATGCATGTCTCTCGAATATATTAAATTAAATGCAGGTGTAAATTATAACTTGTTTTAGATACATTGTATTTCAAGTAGACTAATATGTATCTAAGATATATAGCAAATCTCGCTCATCTCTTTTCCGTCTCGTTTCTAGATGCATATGAATCATTCTTGATACTTATAGATACATGTATCTAGGATGTATACGAATCTCGTACGCCTCTCTCTTTATTTTTGTGTATCTGATAGCAACAATATATGTATCTAAGTATAAGATATATAAAAAAAAAAACTCATAATTAGTGGTAAGATACGTACTATTTTGAAAGTATAAGCAATAATAGTATATATGGTAATGAAGTTGTCACTCGCCCATGTATATAATATCCAAGATATATGTGATTCACTCTAGATACATACAGATACATGTATCTAATTTGTATCCAATTTGATTCGCATGTATCTGTGATGCATATGAATGTAGCTCACCTCTCTCCATGTTTTTGTGTATTTGATAGCAAATATATAGGGACAAAAATATGTGTATATAAGTCTAAGATGCCTAGAAAATTCTTAATTAATGGTAAGATATGTAATATTTTAAAAGTAAAAGTAATAATAGCATATTTGGTAGTAAAATATGTCTCACTATGTGTTTTTCCATATTAATTCTGCTTCGTGTGCACCTCAACTAATTCTATGAAATACATATCATCTCCCGCTAGCAACATGTACTATAATAAATGGAATGACTAATATGTATATATTATAATATATAATTTACTCATAATTAACTCCTACATTACTACTATAGTAATATGCATATATAACTCTATCTAATTACGAAACGATTCCTTAATACATACACATGCCCCTAAAACTTTGCATCAATTTCATTTAGATGCTCTCTAATTATAGTTTGTCAATTTATTTTTTTTAATTTTAATTTCTACTCTGCATTCAATATTTGTATCTAAATTCAAATTCTAACAGATATTTTTTTCAATTTTTTGTGTATATTCTTAAGCATATGTCATCTTTTTTAATCATACATATTAGTCTCAATTGAAATAAACATGAGTTTTTTACAACTTATCTGAGCTAATTCATATTATTAAAGAAAATAGCATATTCTAAGTGATTTTAACTTATTTACATAATATATATTTAAGAACACATAAATTTCTTGTTTTTCAAAATTTAAATAAAAGTTAATTACTATGAACACTTTATTATTCATTCAGATATTCAACTAAAATATGTTATAATTCAAATATGTAGAGCATAGAATTTACTAACAAATTCACAAACTATGGAATTTTAAGCCTTCTTAATATTCTCTTTGGAGCAATCATTCATTAACTAGGGTGGAATAATATACAAAAACAGATTTAATATTCCATGGTCCAAAAATAATTATGATGCACAAAATAATTATAATGGATACAATAGCAATAATCAAAGTCTATCACAAGCCTCATTTATACAAATATTGGGAGATATTAAAAATTAAAGAAATAAAATTAAATAACATTCTAATGCATTTAATATGTATCTCCAAACTGCAGCAACACTCTTCTTAATTGTTCATCCAAATATCCAAAAAACACACATCAAATTTCTTTTAAATTCATCCATGAATTTTCTCCCCCTACAAAAATTAGAAAATACTAAATCAGAAATTGAATAAGAAAAATTGAAACAAAAAGAAAACACAAAATTTATAGAAACAAAAACAGAGTCAGAATTTTTATAAGGTATTTCAAAATATAAAAAGTATATAAATATTTTAACTATATATAAACAATGTAATTTCTGAAAAAAAAAAAAAAAAAGAAAAAAAAGAAACCCTCGGCCCTTGCTAGCTCCGCCTCCGCATGGCATTATTAACTATATTTACAATTAACTCAAACTCTATTATATACTTTCAAAAAATTCTAACTTTTGTATCACACAAAAGGTATTAACATACGTAGTGATATTTAGCGTTGTTTTAGTAAAAATCTTGGATCTGACTCTACGTAAATTAATGAAAAATTGAATAGACATATGAAGAGAGAAAAATTAAATTACTTACACTAAACTTTTCAGGAACTTTCAATCCTTTGAATTTGCGATGATGTTTTAACATCATGTTTTGATGATGAAAATTATGTTTTCCCTTTGATCCTTTTGGTGGAGGAATATAAGTATGAGTTTCTGGACCTCTATAATCAATTTCATAAATTTCTGAATCCATCTTAAATAAATCCATTTTCCCTGTCAATAAAAAAAAGAACATTTTTATAATTAGTCATCACAATTAAATTTCACACACTACTAAAAAAAAAAAACGCAACATTTTAATGAAATCTGTCGAAAATTGGCTTGATGGAAATGTTTCCGAGACTCTCTATAGGAAATTTCATAATTTCGATGAAATCCTGATATTTTACCTTTATCATACCTATCCTGTAAAAAGAATTCTCTAACTAATGAATTTTTTATTTCTGTAAAGGCTTATGTAACAACGAGATCTCTCTTGATCCTTATTGTATGTGCCTTTAAGGCTCCTCTTTCTTCACTTTGGGGTAGGGGAGGTCTTATACAGTAGGAAATAGCGGACACAAGCAAATTAATCGAAGGAGACTAGTTTGAATGAAGAAATATATATGTATAGATGGATGATTTTCAATGAGTAATTAAAGTAATCTAGGGAAAGATAATTCGTCGAAAAAATTCACGTGTTTTTAGTAGCAACATTAAGTAAAGAAAAAAGAGAAACTATTTCATAAACAAGAGATTAAAAAGATCAATTTGTAGACAAATTACCTGAAGAAGAACAAGGATCAATGAGGAGGAAAATCAAGAAAATGCAAATGAAACTAGCCTTTATGATCTCCATGGCAAAGAGACTACTAAAAATGAACTTTATATATATTTTGTACTAAGGATCAAGAAATAATTAACTATTTAAAATAATATAGGGAAGAAAAATGAATCAAGAATAAACATGAAGTGGAATACATATATAGTTAAGAAATTTCACAATTTTTGGCAATTAAAAATGTCACCATCTAACACAGCAATTAGTTACAAGGTCCTGATGTAGATATGTTGGGTTGGAGCATTTATGCAGTGAAAAGAAAAAAAAGAAACAGCCAGTCATGTAGCCATATATTTTTTATTTTTTTGATAACTGAAAAATCACCGAAGAACAATCGACACATCACCTGTAAACTCTATGAATAATATGTCTGACGTGCACCTAAACAACACATCATGTGTTTTACATAGCTTATTTTACCAAATTAAGCCATGATGGCATCTTATACTTATGTTTTGATATTATTTTCATTAAGAGTGTGGCTAGTGTTCGTGAAATAAGTTTGAGAACTATCTATTACGTTTCACCAAGTTCAAATCTCAATAAAAATAAAAAAAATTACGTGATTATTTTTATTTGTCCAGATATTAATGGATAGAATTGTTAATGATATTAATAAAAGTTAATTAATATTTAAGATACATATATAAATTACGTATAAATTTGATTCAGACATTACGATTATTTTATTTGTTGGTAGAGTGTAGACAGTCCCATGTGTGTATTATTGCAAATGTCATAGAAGGACAATCCTATTTAGCAGACCCCAATTGGCTGGACCTAATTCCACTAATAAAAAACAAACTTACCTTGTGTTTTCTTGCCTACTATTTTTCTGTTTATTTTTAGTTTCCTCTTCAATTTATTTAAATTCAAACAATAGAATGACATTACACACATTATGGGGACTTTATGTTATAATTTTTTCAATGACAAAATGTAGTTTTGTTTACAATTTGATATATGTAGTATTTGGACTTTATAGTAGAAACATTGACATGCACCTTTGTAGCATATTGGAGTGTCTTTTCGAATTTTGAAATTCAAATAAATATTTATTATGATTTATAGTAACTTTTACGTAATTTTTAAATAAGTATATTTTATTTTAAAAAAATATAAAATTTTTATATCTGAATCTCGAAATTACAATGAGCGCAGAAATTGAATGGCATGACCAACAGGCAACAGCTAATGAACTATGTGAGATGGGCATGGTCCTTCCTTGTCTATGTCACCTTCTCTGTGTGACAAATACTTTCATCCCATACCTCGTTTGCGATCGTTTAAAGTTTATTTATTCTAAACTTATTATTAAATTTAAAGTTCGTTTTAATTATTAGATCAATAATGTTTTAATACGATACAAAATTTAAGTAAGTTATTGAATATGTTTGAATATATTTTTTGTTGACACTTCAAATTTTATTTATTTTTTAGATAGTGGCTCCTTTAGTTTCTTTGTAATTACTTTTAAAATAATGGTAATATATAGTTTGTAATTTTATTTATGTAGCCTTAATAATGGTGGATATAACTATATACTATTTTTTTATTCTAATTACTAGGATTTGCAACACATGTTATTGTCACCTTTAGTTTTTGTCACTTTTCACTGACTAAAAGAGAATAATTATTAAACTTTCGGTGCAGCCGCTATAATTACAACAAATTATCGTATGTAATTAAGTAATTTAACGTAATAAAATATTATGTAATTAAGTAATTTAACGTAATAAAATATTATTTACTCATGTTAATTATAATCGAATAGTATAGTAATTGTTTATTAACAAGCACATGATAATGATGTTTATTGATGTATATAAATATCGAGGACAGATAAATTTTTACTCATAAAATATTTGAAGATGTTTCATCTGAACACTAACTAAAAGATTATATTTCTAGTTTAATAATTATTCGGGGGAAAAATATATATCACACATAATACGAGTTGAAACTTGAATTATTTATCATGTTAAATTTAATTATTTGTTTACATACTTTTTTGATTATTTTCAAAATTAACAATGATATATCTAATGAAATATAATCTTGTAAAGTGAAAATTGTACTAATATTATACAATCTGTACTTTATTTATAGACATTTTCAAATCGAAATTTAAAATTTGAAAAATTAAGTTTTTTAAATTGTAATTTTGAAAATTTTAATGTTGTATTTAGATCATTTCGCTCAAAATATTCTTTTAAAATTTTATGAGTGAAAATTCAAAAGAAATGATCCGTCTCAAATCAACTTTTTATAGAACATGAAAATAATTTAAGATGAAATCTTTGGCCAAACAAACTTTTAAAGATATTCATCTTTAAATCTATGATTTTATTTAATTACTTTCATTTGTTTCCTTTTTTTGAAAAATGAAAATTGTTTTTTTTTTTTTAACTTTTTAAGTGACATATATAAGTCATAAAATTAAATAATATTTTAATATATTCGACATATTTTTAGTTTAAAATTATAAAATTTAAAATTTTTATTCACTGTTATAAAATTTCTTATCAAATAAAAATAAACAAATAAATTAAAACCAAAAAAAACATATTCTTTTCATTAATTTTTATTTGAGTTTTAAATGATTACATACATATCCATTAGTCACACTTTTTTAATTATATTGTTCAAAATTGTCAAAAAGAACTTCATAATAAATTGACTTGAGTACTACTAAAAACTAAAAATGTGCACGATACTGTAAATTCAATATCATTATAATATTCTTTTAATTTGAATTGACATGATTCTTTCTTAAATAGATTCACTTAATTTGATCAAGATGAGGAGATTATAATTAATTTTATAATAGTTACTTTCATTTTTATTAACCTCTCTTAGGGTTTGCATATTTAAACTTGATTAATTTGCACACGTTATAAACGTACTATTTTGTTGACTTTAATTTTCACTTTAAATCAAATAAATATCTTTAAGTTTATATAATTATAGAAAATTTTAGTAGTCTAATTGAGTGAATATCTGAACTTTCACTTTATAGATAACCGTGCTGATTCCAAACTTTGTAACCTACATTTTCCTCGCCTTACTCCCAATTATAGTTTTTTTAATAATTAACAATTATTAATTTCTTTTTAAAGATTATATATCTCTGTAATGACAAATTGTAACAACAATATGTTTCATACATGATAGTTCATAAATGAAGAAACTCAAAAAATTAAAATTATTTTTGACAATAATATTTATCATTTTCCCATAATTTATAATTATGTATAGTTATATTTCAATATCATTTACATTATTTCTTTAAAAAGATATTCTTACTCATATTAAGATATAAGATATCACATATCCAATGCACGTATGTGTGAAATTATATATAACAATGAATGTATACGAAATTTCATTTAATATATCATAAAAGGAAAATTAAATTACTTGAGTATTTTTAATTTTTAAATATCTAAAAGACGATATTATCGAATATACATATTCGATCGAATAAAAATTTGGAAAAAATAAATAGTTTGAGTTACAGCTCAAAATTGAACAAATCAATCCATTTCTTTTATTTGATTTAATATGTAATGTGGTATTTAAGATCTTCAAATTTTAAAATCGTTCTTTAGTGAATAACTAGTTGTCTTAACTAAAGCGAGAGAAAAGAGTTGACTCGAATTAAAATTTAATTCTTTTACTTTTCGTTATGTAAAATTTCATTTGAAAAAGTATCATCTATAAAAAAAAAAGTTCATATCCAAAACTCGAAATCAAAATCTCGCTAGGCTCCTATAAATTGCATTCTAACTTTATTTTGTTTTTATGTCAGAATCTTTTTGACTATAAAAGAAGAATTTTGAGAATCAATAATAACAACAAAAACTAAAAAGATAAAAATACAAAAAAAAACTACAGAAGAAAAAAAAGAAAAAGAAAACACAATAGGAAAAACGCACCCAACTATACCTAGCTGGAATTCAATTTTCCCAAAAATTCATCGTTAAATTGAGTGCAAGATTTTTCATTTTCTTAAAAAAATCAAAGATTTTGCTACTTCAAGAACCCTATTTCTCTTTTGATTCAAAGAAGTTATCATATTTTCTGCTATTGACGAAATCCCCCATTTGAAGAGCTTCATTGGGTAATCAAAACTATGGCAGATGAAGGTTTGGTTTCTCATAAAAGAGACCCCATCAAAGCTTCAGGTATGGAAACTCCTTTTTATCCCATTTTGTTAGCTTATGTTGAAAAAAAATTCAATCTTGATAGTTTTGAAATGTAAAGACCAGGTTTTTATTTGTGATTAAATGTCTTAACAAAAATATAAGCTTGGTTGTGGTATTGGGTTTTTTCTTAGCTCAATAAAAAGCTAAAGAATTAGTTGGTTGGTGAAGTTTTGTTTATTTCTCCTAATTGCTGAAGTTTAAAGATTTGAACTTGGTTATGTTTATGTGTTGAGTGGATGTCTTGTTTCTGTTTGATTTTAGTGTGAGTTTGTTTTTTTCAGTTGGCAATGCTGCAGCACAGCGAAGACGGCAACATGCTGTTACAGTGGGGAAGGAAAGGAGAGAAGCCCTGATGCGGACAAAGCGTCTATGCAGAGTTGGAGTTAGTGCTGATTTTGATGAGGCCTCTATGGATGATAGTGACATGATGATTGAAGAAGATCAAGCAATTTTGGAGGCCTTGACTTCGGCAGCTGTGGAAGAATTAAAGCTTGATGTTGCCTACCAGTATGGAGAATACTTTTTGTTTTGCTATGAAGAAATTTTGGTTGCGAACAGTGGTTTTTTGGTGTTACATTTTGTTTTCTATTTTAAATTTCAGTTATCTTGGTTAGTTGTAATTGCTTCTGTTTACTTTCGTTGTCTTCTTGTGATGTTACGTTTACTCTATCCTCTTTTAACGCCCTTAATCCTCATTGGTTGATTACGTAGTCCCTATTTGTATAGCATTCTTGGTGTATTTCTAGTTAGCAATTTCATACGAATAAGTGTGATATATAGAGAATGTCTAATCTGTATAAAAAGATAAATTATTAAGTGTCGGAAAGGACCAGAACCAGATAGAATGAATAGTATAGTAACTGCCTGCAACTTAGTTTGGGATTGAAGCATAAGTGTTGCTGTAGTAGAGGTACTTCATAATGACTTGTGTGGTCCTTTTAGAGTTCACCTAGCCATTGATCTTTGGAGCTCCCCCTAGTTTAATGGATGGGGACATTGAAAATGATTTCTGCTGTAGTCTTCACCGGTGATTTGCTATAAGCTTTTTGTATTTGGCAGCTCATCATGCCATATGTTTTCCCTTTCAGTTACTGATTAAGTGAAGTCTTACAATTGCTAGGGGTAAAGGGGCAACAGAGAAAAGAGTGAATGCTCTTCGTGAGCTGAGACGCTTTCTCTCTAGGTCGGAATTCCCTCCTGTTGAAGCTGCTCTACAGGCTGGAGTTATACCTCTTCTTATTCAGTGTCTTTCATTTGGCTCTTCAGATGAACAGGTAAAGGAATACATTACAAATTCCTGCTGACTGTTAATGTAAAGAGTTCTGATTTCTTTTTTAAGACTTTTCATATGACACATAGCATACTTGTACAGTTGTCCTTTTTACTTTGTTGGGAGTTGCTTTGTGCTTGATGGGAGATCACACTTTTATTTGGTCAAATGTTTGTGATATTTTCACACAATTTTGCAGCTTCTGTTAACAAGTTATACTCATCTACTGAATCATCACATATAGAAATTCTTCTCATGCTTGGTAACCAAGCGATTAATGGTAGCCTTATCTCTCTTTTAAAGAAAATGGGAAAAAGTTTCAATATCTTGAGACCTATATATTGACAATTTCTTACCTGGGTCATTATCTTGATGTAGTTGCTTGAGGCTGCTTGGTGCCTAACTAATATTGCTGCTGGAAAACCCGAGGAAACCAAAGCTTTGTTACCTGCATTACCATTGCTTGTGGTTCATCTAGGAGGTTGGTGGAAGCCTCACTTTCTTCAGTTTGATTTTCAAGCATACTTTAAGTTATTTGTTGAAATTACCACATCCAGCCTCGAGTTTGCGGTACATATAATACAGATAATGAAATATTAAAACAGTGACTAGATGGAGGGCTTTTGAAACCCCTTGCCTACGACAACAGGGGGTTGAGCTCATCGCACGGGGCTTGCCTAGTGCAATTTACCTCTCATGTGTGGTTTGCGGACTATTGCACAGGAGCAGGGTTTACCCTATGCGCCCCCTAAAGATAGCGCTGTGGGTTCCCTTGTCAACAATAGAAAAATTACAGAATACATTTACCTTATATAAGCTATCTGAAGATTCTCACAAATCCTTACCACAATAACAAAGATTGATGTAATCTAAAAAATTATAATTTTTTAGATGCCGCTTATACTGGGACCTTGGAATTATGTAAGAATATTTACTAGTTGGTCATCTGAATTGATGACTCATAAGTCATAGCTACATATGTTTGGTCAATATTTTGTCAACAATCTATTTCTCTTTCTTTGAAGAAACATAGGAATTTGTAGTGGCTTAATTATATCAATTTTCCGTTGGATTTTAGCTTCTTAAGAAACAACTTTTATCGTATTCCCTCACGTGGTTTCGTAGTGGCTTAATTGTATCAATTTTCTTTTAGCTTCTTAAGAAACAACTTTTATCGTATTCCCTCACGTGGTTAAGGCCATGGCTCATTACTGTAGGTCCACACTTGGTTCGGTCATCACATCTTTGGTTTTTACTTTTCTAAGAGACCCGATGAGGTGAGTTGTCTATCCAAGGGAATTTCTGCTTGCTGGAGCCCAGAAGTGAAATACCCAAGAATTGATACACTTCCTCTACTTTTTAATAATTCCTTATCATGGCGATTGATACACCCGTGAATGCGCATTAAAGCATACCAACGTCTGTTACAAGAAGCCAGCAGAATCTGGATAACCACGCTAACAATGAATGATATATCAGGTTGCGTGATTTTGAGAAAGTTGATCTTGTGAACAAAACTCTTATATAGTCCTAGGTCATTTAAAAGGCCCCATTATATAGGAATAAATGAAATGTTACCAGTTTCAAAAAAATTATATAGGAATAAATGAAAGATTTGGATCCTTAGAGGATGAATAAGTCCGGATCTAGCGTACAAGAGTTCTGCCGCTTTTATTCCAAAAAGGTATTTTAGTTTTGCGAGTTGTTGCTCCAGAAATGACAGGGTGCTATTTAAATTGATCAACCCTTTATGATCATGACATGTCAGGATAGTGCCATGAACACAAGCAATTAGGGAAGTCCGAGCTTTGATCTAGTGGTAAGACCACACAATATGTGATGTGTGGATTAGGTGTGCGTCACAAGTTCAAATTTTACTGGCCTACCATAAAGAAAAGCTTGATATTTAAGTGGAGAAGGATAAAGTGGCCGACCCATTAACCACCGAGTTTCGAACTGTGTGTAACTGTCCATTGGAGATTTTTCGGTTATCAGAAAAAAGAAAGAAAGAAGAAGAATATTGGTATAATACTGAATCTCTTGCTTCATTGGGAAATATGAGCTAGAACAGCCAAAACATGCCCTTGGAGATTGAGGCCGTAAACAGATTGACAGATTCGACTTTGATTGCTTATTAACTTCCTCAAAAGTAATACAACATCTTTTTACCAATTGACAAAAGGACCAGTGAAAATATGGGTACCACAGAGATAAGGAGACACATAATAACACTTTTAGCCACCAGAGAAAAAATTGATCGTATTTGGACCTTATATCTGATTATGTCCTTTGGAAGTTAATCAGACTTTAAGGCAATAAATTTTTTTCTGGTTGTAAAGACTTAATGGCATTTTATTATTGTCTCTATGTGATAAAGATCAAGCATTATAACATAAGAGTAGTTATTCCCTCAGTAGCAGGGCATGACACCAACTATAACAAGCCATTGCTTCTTCACAGTTAAGTTATTGGGACAATGGATAGAATTGATATTTCTTTTGTTAATTTTACATTTAATTAAGTATTCACTGTTTTGTTCTTATTAATTTGTAGAGAAGAGTTCCATACATGTCATGGAGCAGTGTGCATGGGCATTGGGAAATGTTGCTGGTGAAAGTGAAGAGCTGAGAAATGTTCTCCTATTACAAGGAGCCTTACCAGCTCTTGCAAGGATGCTGCTGCCTAACAAGAGGTCAACAGTAAGAACAGCTGCTTGGGCATTATCAAACCTAATCAAGGTTCAAGAATGAAGTTTCTCTCCTTATCATGCATATTATCGGATTTTTAAAAAATTACTGTCTGTCCAATCAGTACAATTCATCTTTAGGTGATAACCAAAAGCAGATTGACTATTACCTTGCTTTTATGCTACTAACTCTTTTTGACAATTTGAGAGAATCATTACTTGTTACTTCTTTTCCCTCTTGAGTGTATGTCTTCTGATTTTTATTTTTATTTTGAACATGATGTCTTCTGATTTTTTTTTGAACTTTTGAAATATAAGATCCTCTTTGTTTTGTGTAGGGACCAGATCCTAGAGCTGCAACAGAGTTGATAAAAATTGATGGAATACCTGATAGAATTGTTCGACATTTAAAGAAAGGGTAGGTTGTTCCGGAGTCTTTTGCTTTGTAGTGATGTACAAGTCCATACTTTTTGTACTATCAACTGTACCTTGTTAGTAATGTTACTATTGCTAAGTGTTCCACATTGGTTGAGGGATGGATTATTTGTCTCTCACCACATGAGCAAGCTTTTGGCATTGAGTTTTGACCAAGGTCCATTTGTGTACACAGCAATAGAGCCAGGTCCATCCCTGTTATTGTATGTTCCGATGTTGGGCCCCTATGCTGTGTTGTGCAGTGCACACTTCAGTTGGAAGGCCATTTGTTTGCTATACTTTCTTACAAGTGTATGACACTTATTTTTTTTCGTAGATGTTATGGTAATATAATATCTATTGATAATCATAAGGAGAAGTGACATGCCTCTTAAAATTAGATAATTATTCAAATTATCCGATATCTTCCTGCAGTGTCCCTTTCTAATTACTTGACTGGGCACATCCAGGGATGATGAGTTGGCCACTGAAGTAGCATGGGTCGTTGTGTATCTCACTGCCCTTTCAAATGTTGCAACTACAATACTGGCAAAGAGTGATCTCGTACAAGTACTGGTAGAAATATTGGACATGTCAACTAGCCTGCAACTGCTTATCCCGGTAACATGCATACTAATATTATTGGTTTAGTGGATTTATGTTACCAGAAAATTTTTATTATTTGTACTTGCTGAGTTTTGAGAACAATCACATGGAACTTGTCAAAATAAAACAAAAATTGAATAAATCACTGATGGAATGAAAATACTGATCTGACTTCATTTTTGGGTCTCTCAAATTGAAAGGACAAGTGGTTCTGAAAAATTAAAACTATTTGTTGAATAGAAAATATATGTGATCACATGCAACATTGTGTTCCTTTTGGCTTTTCTGTTCCCCTTTTTCAATTCTATTGTCCTTATTCTCAACTTTGGATTGCTAACTGAGTTTCTGTAGCTCTTGGTGGACAATATTTTTGCTTATGAAATTAAAGGATAAGATAGTAAACTGCACTTTTAGTGTTACAACATGGAGGAAAGAATCCTGAAAAGTGGTCGCTTCGATCCAGATATTGCCGCAGGCAATTAAATTTTAGGACTCACATGTATTAAGTTGTCAACTCTTCAAGGATATTATGAAAACTTGATTTCAGTTAGTCCGATATTATATGTCTTCTCGTAGTTTATACTGTTTGATTAGTGAATACTGAAAGGTAGATCAAAACCACACTTCTCTGAAAACTTGATTTCAGGTAGTCTGATATTATATGTCTTCTCGTAATTTATACTGTTTTATTAGTGAATACTGAAAGGTTAGATCAAAACCGCACTTGTTTTATATCATGATTGTGTCAATTTACTTTTGTCAAAAGTGGTTTACAGGAATCAAATTATGGTCACACAGGTTCACAGCATCATTGGAACCCTTGAACTTCCATCCCACCCCGAGGGAGGGAGGGAGGGAGGGGGGTTATATATGCATCCCCTTCAAGGTTTTGTCACGATGACATATCTCTTCTAGTATGAAAAAGAGCCACACTTGCTCTTATTATTTCATGATTATCACAAGATTTTGCTTTAATAACAGTTGATGCAGAAATTATAACTAGATAAGTCCTGTGTATTGCTTTTAATGGCATTTGAGAGCTAGTGTGGTAAATAATCGTTAAATTTCTTGACTTACAGAAATTAATTAATTAAATTTCATCTTTCAGTTGCCTTTTAGGTAAGTGTTGGTGATGGCCACATCTTTTTGTTAATCAGCATTATATGTGCTCCGTCATCTGTGTGTATGTCATTTGTTGGGTCTTTGACAACTATGGTTTAATCAGGTGCTGCGGAGCTTGGGAAATCTTGTGGCTGGTGAACCTCATATAACTAATTTTGTTCTTGTTGCGAGACATGCGCTAACAGGCTAGTTTTGAACTTAACCCTTCTTTTTTGGCATAGAAACTATATGACATCTAAACCTCCAACAACTTAATATTACCAGGTGATGCCATTCAAGCATTAGTAAAGTGCTTAAAGAGTGAACACCGTATCTTGAATAAGGTATGCTGATGGTACTTAGTATATTTATATTTTAGAGACTGTTATACTGTTTATTAAAACTTGTGGAATTTTCTAGGAAGCTGCATGGGTGCTATCTAATATAGCTGCTGGTTCAGTGGAGCATAAGCAGTTGATATATTCAAGTGAAGCTATGCCGCTTCTTTTAAATCTTCTTTCTAAAGCTGCATTTGACATAAAAAAGGAGGTAGCGTATGTCCTGGGAAACATCTGTGTCGCCCCTACTGAAGGTTCCGGAAGGCCAAATGTGATTCTTGACCACTTGGTCAATCTTGTTCGTGGGGGATGCCTAACTGGTTTTCTGGATTTGGTAAGATCTGCTGATGTTGAGGCAGCGAGATTGGGACTGCAATTCATTGAGCTGGTAAGCAGAGAATGGTTGTTGTTGATCAATCTTATCTTCTATTTACTTATCTTCTCCTTCTCTAAACAGAGTGTGCTTGTTATGGTTTATATACCCCAACAAAATCATAACGAAGGTAGTAAAAAGAGCTACCCCCACCCACCCACCCACGCGCGCGCACACACACTCTTTTATATTTATAACGACGGTTTATAATGGTTCATTCCGGCAGATTGTTAGCATTAGTTGTTCCAGATCATAAAACTAGATTACAATGATGTTGGAGTGAGCAAGAAAGAAAAGAATCAAGGGGATTCAAAAAACCGCAAGAATTCCACTCTTGGATTTGAGCCCGCGACCTAAAGCAATTTCCAATCCAACTTTTGCCATTACATTAGAAACTTCCTTGTGTAAAGTGATTCAAAAACTTATCATATATACAAAAATGGTTGTTTTCGACCTATTTGCATAGTCCAACGATAGAGATTCAATTGAACCCCCTTTGATTGCCCTATCTGACTTGCTATCTTGTGTGGTTTATATTAACTGCATAATTAGAGCCCAGTGTGTCTTAGGACCATTTTAGTAACTTCTCCTTTGACAGGTGTTGAGAGGAATGCCAAATGGAGAGGGTCCGAAGCTCGTTGAAAGGGAAGATGGTATTGATGCAATGGAAAGATATCAATTTCATGAAAATGAAGAACTCAGGAGCATGGCGAACGAGCTGGTTGATAGTTATTTCGGAGAAGAGTATGGGCTTGATGAGTAAGAACATGTCATGTGTCAACTGATTTGGTTCTCTAACTACTATGAAGCTTGTTGCTCAACAAGATGTGCATATATTAGATAAACAATTACATGGTTTTATGCTATCTGAATTTGGATTATCAGGTTTTCCAGATGTAGTTGTATTAAATTAATAGTTTGGGGTTTGGGGGTGGGGTGTGATCATGGATATAACAAGCTTCCAATGTTGTATTAGTATGTTTCTAACACCAAAATAATAGGATTTGCCAGTAGATGTCTTAAAGATTCAATGTGTTCATCCTATTTGTTCCTATCTTTCAATCCTCGAGTTTCAAATATAGTTTGTATAATATTCTCAGGTTGTGTTTAAGTCGTTAACTCTTGTACGTATTTATAGTCGTGTTTAAGTCGTTAACTCTTGAAGGTATTTATAGTCTCCCGAGATAACAACAGGGTATATTTTATTTCAAAATATAACATAGGGTATAAGTGATCTACTTCGCATAATCAAAGGCAATTTGCACTACTCTTTTAAATTTAAATATTTCTTATTTTCACCATCTTCATCAAATTTAGCAATCGAAGTTTCGATAAATATCATTTTTGTAAATTTTTACTGTGTTTTTTATTCATAGAAATCATTATTGAGTTTGGACAGCCAAGTACTACAACAACAACGACTAATTATATTCCCTAAAGATGATTTCAAATGACAACCAATTCCACCTAAGTCTTAATTAAGAAAATAATTACAACTAATTTTACGATAATTAATATGACTACATAAATTAAAAAAAAAATGTGATGGAGAGGTTGAACAACACCATTTACATAAAAAATTTAATTAGCAGTGGATAATTTATAATCAGACACCCAACCACCATTAACTATTTTTGCAGATATACTATATAGTTGGCTTCTTAAGTTTTGTCTATTGGTTGGGGAGCAAAATTATAATCTGTATAATTTTAGCCAATTTTGTGTATATATAGAGATATTAAGATAACAGCTGGAAGATTTGGTCTATTAATACGTAAATATTTATTCGTGTTGAGTATTAACAATCTTACTAAATTGAAAATACATGTTACTTTGATATACGTATAAAATAGAAATATCTTATATTTATTGACTTAACTTAAATATTTCATTCACTAAAGAATCTACTAGACTAGAAAATTCAAATTAAGTTGGTTATTAACCTTATATTTCACCATTTGTCTTTATTTTTTTTACTGCATTTTTGATATTTATATTGAGATTCTATTAAATTCATTCACATATCGTAGAGCCTATTTTTATTTTTTTTATTCTCATGAGCTTGAACCTGAAATCTCTAGATAAGATGTAAAATATACCAATGCTATTCGAACCATCCAACAACAACCCATATTGACCATTCACCATATGTCAAAGTTATTTTACATATAAGTTTATTTTAATTACAGTGTTGTTGAACTGTAAGTTAGTATACATTTAGACATTTCAACTTAATCTCAAACGGTAACTAAGCACTTTGACTCATTGTTATTGTGTTCCATGGACATTCAATATTGACGTGATACATAAATTTAAGAACTGTGTAAACGATATTTTTTAAGTTGAAGGGTTAAACAAACCATCAATATAAATTAAGTTATCTAGATATATATTTAAAATTGAAGTATTTACGTATCAGCTCACATCGATTTTTTTTTTATGTGTTATATATTATATATATTTTTTTCATTAATTGTTGTGAGACACCAAAAGGACCGACCACATGCATGTAGTTTCTGTGACCACTTCTGATATAGTAATAACTTGTTTCATTATTTTTGGAGACATGAAGGAATAAATGCTTTATTAAACTTTGTCACAAGTCCTTTATTATTATTCACAACTCTATTAATATTCACCAACTGTATATCTTGTTAGTTGTAGTAATAGTAATAATAATTTGTTTTTAACTTTATCTAACATGGCAGCATCCGTAAAAAAACTATAGTGAATAGGTTAAATTTTTCTAAATTATTGTACTTATCAATAAAGTAATGTCTAATTCTCTATTTAAATATCTCGATTAATAACTTCTATAAATCATATTTTAAATTGCACTAATAGATTTGTTAAGTTTAACATCGATATAATATGTCGAATTTAGACTCTTTATATAGATTTAGACAACTCCTCTTGTCACCTAATTTTTTGGTTAAGTTTGACTCAATTTTATTTTTTTTAGTAGAGAAGTATTACAAAATACCCCTTAATTCATCTCGTATTAATAATTTTATCTCCAAATTTATTAATAAGTTTTAAAATCACCCTTTAACTTGACTAACTATCCCGAACTTGTAATATGTCCTCGTCAAGTTTTGGGAGCCTCATGATAAGAGCGGGGCGTATGTCAATAGTTAAAGAATGAAACTAAAAACTTATCTGAATGTTCAATGGTATCAATCATTCTCTTTTTTTACATGTATCACAACAGATTAGAAATTTAGTTCTAGATTATTCCGCCAAAAATATAAAAATATTCCAACTAGCCATAAAAATTGATTTTTTTTGCTCGTTGGGATGTAAAAAACTGTTCTTCACTGATGGCATCAATGTTTAACGGTACAATGAAAATTGTGTCGGCTTAATCATTGTTCACCAAATAGTACAAAAATATTGAGGGGTGAAGAATCTGATAATTTAATGTAGGGTCCAGTGTTCCAGCTCCCCTCACACTTGCTAAAACCAGCTGTTCTTCTTTCAATTTCTCTCAATTCATTAGTTGGAAGTGTTCTTTAATCAAGATCTACTTTCTCTCTCTCTCTCTCACTCACAATACAAAATGCAAAAAAGGGTCAAAAGATAGAGGGGTCCAACTCTTTTCTTATCTTTTTGTTTTCTGTTACAGAGAAGAAGAAGAAGATGCCACATTGTTTGTGACTTTTGAAAGTTGGAAAAAAAGAAGAATAAAGCTGCAGTCTTTGAACAATACAAGAACAGAATACAAGCTTTCTGAGATCTGTGCAGCTCCAGTTTTAAAGGGTATTTGTTCAAATCAATAAATTTGATGTTTTTTTTTTTTCTGTTTTCTTGAAGTTCTTGCTGTTTTGGTAGGTGGGTAGTGCATAGTTTTCTGAAAAGTTGACATCTTTCTTAATTTTAAAGGGTGTTGTTCAAATCATTAAATATGATGTTCTTTTATGTTTTCTTGAAGTTCTTGCTGTTTTGGTATGTTGGTAGTGCATATGTTTGGAATCTTTATTTGATATTGAGCCATTGGGGAAAAAGGAAGCTAATTTAAATGCCATTGTTTTTGAGGCCATAGGTGCATTATCTTAATCTTTCGAGTTTGTATTTTTTTTTCTTCTTTCTTTGAAGTATTGAGTATGAGAGTCAATTTATGGATGGATGAGATTTTCTTGTTTAGCAGCCAAGTTTTATGTATTCAGAATCTTGTTTGGTTGTATATCTGGTTGAAAAAATAGATTTGGATGATCTAGGCTCACAAAAAAACTGTATAACTTGGTTAGACATAAAGTATTATCCATAGATCTTTTATTTCTTACATTTTTCAACTTGTAGCTTGTGCTGGTTCCCCCCTCCTTTAAGACAAGCATATTGTAAATTATGGTGTTTAATCATGAAAATTGTGAGTATTTGAAAAAGTAGTTTTTTGTTTTCAAAGTGAAAAATGATATTTGATAATTGTTGTGTTTGGCGATGAATACAAATTTAAGTTGTTTTTTGTGAGTTATTTGGAGTGAAAACAGTTATTTGGTGTTTTTCAAATTCTTGAAGTTGTATTCCGGAATTTCATGGTCAAACAACTTTTAGGCATTTGTACATTAGTGTGAAATTGTGATCTTTCACATGATACTTCATACCAAGTACATTTTAGGCATTAGATTGGTTATTTCTCTTTCTGTTATTTTACTAAGTTTACCTAAATCTCCAATTGAAAAGGTTGAATCATCCCTGTAATGTAGTGTGTTTTGTCTTATAGATAAGACCATTTGTCGAACGAGAAGATGGGGAAGAAAGGAAGCTGGTTTTCTTCAGTAAAGAAGGCTTTGAGCCCAAACTCTAAGGAGAAGGTTATGCTGAAATAATCATATACTAGTACTTCTCTAGTATGATGTAACATTTTTTTGACACATATAACTGGTGCCTGACATTTCTTGAGTGTTATTTCAGAAAGATGGTAAATCAAAGAAGAAATGGTTTGGGAAAGAAAAACAGCCACTCCCAGATTCTTCAACTTTGGTGGTTGCCTCAGTGTCTCCTCCGCAACCTATTCCTCAAGTGGAAGAGGTCAAACTGGCTGAAGTGGAAGAAGAACAGACTAAACATGTGTATTCCGTTGCAGTTGCTACAGCTGCAGCAGCCGAAGCGGCTGTTGCAGCTGCCCAGGCTGCTGCAGAGGTTGTTAGATTAACTACGGTCAATCAATTCCCAGGAAAATCCAAGGAGGAAATAGCTGCAATCAGGATTCAGACGACATTTCGAGGATATCTGGTATGCAATTTTACTCTCATATTTTGTCATTTCAAGTGATTTTTCCCTTTTTAGGATAATTTCTTTCAGCTAGTTTATAATAGACTTGATTCTCTCAGTAAGAAAAAACAATAGAAAGCTTGTTTACTGTTTAATTTACTTTACTTGAGAAAACATGATTTGTTACTGAGATAGAACTTGCGGTCGGGGTTTCATTTGCAGGCCAGAAGAGCATTGAGAGCTTTAAGAGGACTTGTCAGACTCAAAACATTAGTTGATGGACCTACTGTCAAACGGCAAACTGCAAATACTCTGAAATGCATGCAGACTTTATCTCGTGCGCAGTCTCAGATTAGTTCTAGAAGGAGCAGGTTGTTGGAAGAGAACAGAACTCTCCAGAGGCAGCTTATGCAGAAACATGCAAAAGAACTTGAGAGTTTGAGGGTCAGTATTCTTCCTAAATTCCAACTTTTTATAAGAAATGGATTTGGTGCTGGAATAATGGAAAATTATTTTCCGTTAGAATAACTGAGATGAATTTGTTCTCTCAAATTGACCGTGACAGTGTTCTCATGAAGTTTACTGGTAACTGTTATATCGCTGCACAGTAAAAAGATTGTGTTTGGAAATTTCACCAGGAGCAATTCATCTTGTTGTCCCACATTTGTGAACAAAATCTTTAAGGTGTAATTTGTGAATGCATTTTTGCATTTTCAACAATATACTATAGCTGAGTATTTAACGGCTTAGATCTTGTAACATATGTGCTAACAGCCCAAGTTGATCTCTTTGTTTTTATTTGTTTCCTTTGAAGGATTTGGGGATGGGGGTCCTCTTGTCTAAGGGCGTGTGGAGGTTTTTTAATTGCGCCTCATCTAATGTTTTCTGTTTTGATAGAGAGGGGAGGAGTGGGATGATACTCTACAATCAAAAGAGCAAATTGAAGCAAGTTTGCTCGGCAGATATGAAGCTGCAATGAGACGAGAAAGAGCACTCGCGTATTCATATTCCCACCAGGTACTAAATTAATCATTTTTTTCATATACAGCTATTAACATTTTGAAAAGAGGGCAGTTTAATTCCCAAGGCTATGTTGCGTGGTATGCAAATGGTGATGAATGTAGCCTTCTACCGTTGTGCCAAGGAGATGTTTCTAAAAGTCATATTTTTGCATAGTCTAAATTTTACAATGATATTTACCAAAGGAAGAATCAAAACTTTAACGATGATTTTATTGCTGATATCTTGGCTTCATTTCTTCTCTTTGATTTTCTGTAATAACCAATAACCTATGCATATCTTCAAAGGAATAACTTACTATGTTTAAACATATATGATTTTCCTCGTGATCTTTTAACGACATTACTAGTCATTGATTATGTCAAAATGTCGTCTGGACAGCAAACCTGGAAGAAGTCATCAAAAGCTACCAATTTGTTATTTATGGATCCAACCAATCCTCAATGGGGTTGGAGTTGGTTAGAGCGGTGGATGGGTGCTAGGTCTAGGGAAAACCAAAACATGTCCGAGAAAGAACTAAAAGGTGATCAAATGTCCGTAAGAAGTGCCAGCATGAGCATGTCTGGAGGGGAAATTACCAAGGCATTTGCCCGTCATCAGCTGAACTCTGAACTCCCATCTTCTCCTTTAAGCCAAAAACCAAACCGTCCTTCAAGCCGCCAGTCTCCTACTACACCTTCCAAGCCATCCACAGCTAGAAAACCGAAACCAGGAAGTGCAAGAGTCAGTGCAATAAACCAAGAAGATGACACACGAAGCGTATTTAGCGTTCAATCAGAAATGAACAGGAGACATAGCATTGCAGGATCATCAGTAAGAGATGATGAGAGCTTGGGAAGCTGCTCATCCGTACCAAGTTATATGGCATCCACTCAGTCAGCAAAAGCAAGAACAACGCGTTTGCAGAGTCCATTAGGCGTGGAAAATGGCACACCACCAGCGAAGGGATCTGCTGGTTCTGTGAAGAAGCGACTCTCTTACTCACCTTCACCAGCCATTACAAGACGGCATTCAGGTCCACCAAAGGTCGAGATTACCTCCACAAACACCTCTAATGCTGAGAAATATGTGAATGGAGTTGTCAACTAGCCTGTCTTATCACAAAGTAATAAGTTGTACCGTAGCCTTGCTATACCAGGTAAACGCAGAGGAGATACATGAAGATTTGGAACAAAGGCATTCGTTCATCGACTAAATGCAACTTCAACTTCTCCATAAAATCAACACGAGTTCGTTACTGTATGTGCATTCCTGCGTGGTGCTTGATTTTTTCATTTATCAGAGAAAAAAATGATACTTGTTTTTTTAAATATTCGGTTCTCCGACGAGTGATGATGATTTGAGATTGTGATAGTTGTGAATTTATTTTAGAAGAAGCATTTTCTTGTTTGTGATTATATATGATTCCATCTTTATTATGTATACAAAATGGTGAAACAAGAGAGACTTTCTTTATTTAGTCGATGGACACTGTTGTATGTTGTGCTGTCTTTAGACCAATTGGTATATGCCTTCAAGAATTATGATGATGTGCTACTAATGACAATTCAAATGGATTAGGTGTCCAAAAAACTATATAAATTTAATTGTAATTTTCCAACGAAGAGTGTTTAGTTGGACGTGACAAGTATGAACAAAATTTGTGGCGTTCGATAATATAAATATGCACAACTTTTAACAAGCTAGTGGCATGGCCAAGATATTTTTAAGAATTTAATGACGTATTTGGCCAAACAGTCAATGTACATAGTCTCCTAATCTCCAATAATATAAGTTTTTGTTCCAACTCTTTACAAGTAAAAACCACTTTAAAAGGAGAACAAAATTGCCTCCTTTGAAATAATTCAATAGAAAAATCAATTTTCTCTTGTTTTTGGATCAATCGTTAGTAAAAAGAGTATTTTTAAGCTGGTTGACTAGGTGAACGTTATTTTAGAGCTTAGTTAACTAACAATAATAATATTTTCAAATAAAAGTTAAAATTAAAGTAAAATTAATCTATAGCGAATAATTCACAATTTTTTTTGTCCTCATTCCAATTATGATTAAGTGATAACGACAAAACTTACTCATTTAGTCTTAACAATGTTTTCAAAGAAGTTTTTGGGGCGAGTCTCAGGGTGAGTTTCGAGGCTGGGCATACCAAAAACAGTTTGGGGCATAAATTAAAAACATAGATCATAAGACGTCAGTTCTAAAATTTGAGGCATAAGTCCTAAACATAAAAACGTAAGTTCTAGGCGTAAAAACGTACGCCAGAGTGTTTTTAATTTTTTTTTTTGCTTTAAATAATATTTTTATTATTTTTATTATTGGTGTAATGATATTTCTCAAATAATAATGATAATTCTTTTTTTCTTCATTATTGAATATTAATACTTATCTCACACAAAAATTATAATTCTTTGAAAACTTTATTTTTGCTTATTTTAATAGTAATAAAACTATAAAATTGAATATATATGTGACTATGCCTTGTAGATCTATGAAACTTACGCCCCGTGTATTGAGGCTTACGCCTCATCTCATACCATATAAAATATTTCATTTCATACCTTCGCCTTTTAAAACACTAAATATTTCAATATATATATTTTTAGCAATACCAAAATAAAAAATGTATAATAATATTACTCGGAGAATAAACACCTCGATCACACATGGAGTGGTCAAACGTTTGTTCCCCGAGGGTGGGTCTTCCATATCAGGGCCTTTATTATCTTGCATTAATTTTTCGTTCTTTTTTAGTAGTTAAGTTAGTTTTATTTTCTTTATCCCATATAAACTGACAAAAACAAACAGAGTTAAGTGAAAGAAGACAGTGCTCAAGGACTTGGGAAACTGTGTTTTGCTTAGCTGATAGCTATATCTATTGTGTGTTTGTGTGTGTACGAACCTAAATTAAGCTACGTATCCTCGATTGCTTCACCCCCATTAGGGTTCTTTCATCTGCTTCATTTGTCTTGGAGCTTGAGCCACATTTTTCTTTCATTTTTTACCCCCACAAAGGGAGCTGCTCCAGCTTGTTTTTCTTGATTTTCACTTTCTTGAGATCTTTTTTGGGTAAGTTTTAAGGAACTGTTCATTTATCTGCTGAAGTGTTGGAGAAGGGTTGTTTTTTTGTTCTTTGGAATGTTAGTGTTTTTTCTGTTTATATGTATGTGGGTGTGTTTTGTATTTGCTGAGAGCACTGATTTCTCTTGTGGGTTAGTTTCTTTTTTGATAAAGTTTCAGTCTTTGAAGAAATTTTGCCATTGTTTTACAATGTACTAGGTTGGCATGGATTTAGAGCACTGATTTTTCATGTGGGTTGGTTTCTTTTTGGATAAAGTTTCAATCTTTGGAGAAATTTTGAGTTTGTTTTACAAAATACTAGGCTGACATAGCTTTTATACCATTGCCTTTTCATGTGGGTTAGTTTCTTTTTTGATAAAGTTTCAATCTTTGGAGAAATTTTGAGTTTGTTTTACTATGTACTAGGTTGACATAGCTTTAGAGCACTGATTTTTCATGTGGGTTGGTTTCTTTATAGATAAAGTTTCAGTTTTTGGAAAAATTTTGAGTTTGTCTTACAATGTACTAGGTTGACATAGCTTTAGAAGTCTGATTTTTCATGTGGGTTGGTTTCTTGTTTGATAAAGTTTCAAACTTAAGGAGCTTTTATGTTTTATTTTTTCACTGTAGGTAGACATAGCTTTAGAGCTCTGATTTTGGAGGCTTTGTTGTTTTCTACAAGCAGATATAACTGTTTTGTTTTGTGGTCTACTTGGGGAGGGCAATGAAGAGTTTGTAATTTCTTTGGATCTATGTCTCCTAACATAAAGTAGAGGAAAATATCACCCAGAAACTTTTAGATTATTTAGTATTGCTTTGTGTTTTTACATAAAAAAAATATAATAAGTCCCACAACTCACAAGTGACTTCTTATCTCACGTGTAAACATGATTGATCCATTTGGGTAGAGGGTGTGGGTTGTGGAGAAGTTAATAATGAATCTTATTTTGTTGCTGTATCATCTGTCTCTTTGCAGCTTGATGGATTTTCAAGTTTCCCTTCTTTTGAAAAGCATCATCTGTTTGTCAATCCTTAAAGGTCACTAGTGATTACTGTGTTAAATTGGGACTTTTGAATTGTTTTCTAAAATGTGGTTTAATGTCATTTTCTATGCACCATGTTGTTTCTATACAGTATAAGCACTGCAGTAAAAGTTGAAGTAAAAGTTAAGAAAGTTGATAAATGGCTTACATAATGATAGTACTTTGTTTTCTTGGATTGCAAATTTCCCTGTCTTCCAATTTTCTTTTTTCTTTTTTTGGTTTCTTCCTCCGGTAGTAGGTTTGGTGGGGCAAGTGGAGGCAGTTTCTATGTTGTTTTCTTGAAGGGATAGTGCTGATTGTATTTTTTTATAAGTATCTATTACGAATGTGAAAGTTTTCAGATCCCTCAATAGCATTTCTTTAACATATACGGAGTCTGCTAAAATGTTTCTCGTGTTGCAGCGGTTGGTCTTTGAAGAAAACAAATTAAGTTTGTCATTTCTACATCTTCCATTGAGAGGAAATGAGCATGCAGACACCAAAAGCAAGGTATTTCTTAATTCATTCACGCTGCTTTTGGTGAATTTTGTAAGTAATTCAAAGGCCTTAATCTTGCTTCTTATGTTTTTAACCCCTTCTTCCATGAGATTTGAATAAAGTGGTTTTTTGATTATATTGTTAGATCAATTCAAAGAGCATCTTAACTAAGCAACAACTATGAATTCACAGTTTCAATTTGTCCCTCTTATTTCATTCCTGTATAGGCAACTTGATTTCTAAAACAGCAGATGATGATTGTCTTGAGCCATTGGTACTTTGAGCAATGAATTGTGTGTGCAACTGCTCACAGTGAACGAAAATACGACATTCTTAATTATAGTTGTTGAATGATATTTTTTAGATGCTCATATCTGTGCTTTGAAAATTAACATGTGATCAGCTTTTCTACCTCAAAGAAAGTAACACTGAAGTGATCCTGAGGAAAGGAAGGAGTGTTATAACAATAATCCAAAATTCCATTTTGTCTTTTCATGTTGCAGCTGCAGATTATTTGATATGTGATCCATAATTGAAAATCTATACTCCCTCCGTTCAATTTATCTGTTTGGTTTTGACTTGGCATAGAGTTAAAAGAAAGTAAAGAAGACTTTTGAATCTTGTGGTCTTAAACTAAAACTAAAGATATGTAGCATACCAAAATGTCATTTAATCAATCTTAAATATGTTATATGGAAAGTTGAAACTAAAGAGTTGCCAACAGAGGACAGAGGCAATCTTTTTGAAACGGACTAAAAAGGAAATTAAGACAAAAAGAAATGAGACGAAGGGAGTATTATTTAACTTCTATAATTTATTAGAAAATAAATACTACTACTGCTGCATTAGTTCTCCTTCTCACATGTTTTTGGCTGAAGGACTGTTTCTGTTGAGGTGCCGCAAAGGACATCTTCGTCTACAACAAAGACAGCTCGAAAGCTCAGAACTTCAGGGCCAGAGGTTGATTCTGTTTCATCTCCAAATCCTGCAAGCAGGACACCAAAAGACAGGAGTCCTAAAGTTATTGGTCGCCGGTCACCACGAAGTCCAGCAATAGAGGTACTTGAGTAATATACTAATCTTGAATATTTCTTTGGCCCAAAATTTATTGTATATTTGTATTACTTGAAGAATATTAAAACCCTTGATTTTTAGTGTTCATCAATAATTATCAGTATCGAGACAAGGTATATCAAATAAGCGGAAACAAATTTTCTTCTGTTTACATTCTTATAGTTAGCAATTAGAATGTCCCTACATGCTTAGTTTAAATCTGCAGAACCCTCTGCATCTGTAGCTTTCTTTGCTCTGTTGGACTTGTTATTCTGTTAAGGATTGTTGCAAACATTTAACATGGTGCTCCTGTTATCTTGCTTATTCCTCGACTGCTGTTGTCTGTCTCACTTGCCGGCAGTTGCACTGTTTGATGGAAACCTTAGTTTACAAAACTTTAGAAGTCGAGAATTCATGAATTGTCTCTTTTATATATATTTTGTTTCTGTTTAAGTTGCTCTCTTTGTTACTAAGATGCCCATTGTTCTTATTTTGCAAAACACAGCAAAAGCGTCCAGGCAGAATGTCCGCTTTGGAAGACCAGCTTGCTCAACTCCGCGAGGAGGTGAAGGCAGCAAAGGAACAACTCAGTTTATCAGAATCATTGAAGAAAACGTCTCAACAAGAGGCTGACGAAGTTAAGAGGCAGTTAGCAGTCATGTCAGAGAAGCTTGAGGAGTCTGAGAAGCAGCTGCTTAAATGCTCCGATTCTGAGGAAGCTAATCTCTTGGAGCTACACAAGATCTCACAAGATAGGGATCGACAATGGAAATCTGAACTTGAGGCTGTACAAAAGCAGCATGAATTGGACTCTGCTGCTCTGGCGTCTGCCCTGAATGAAATCCAGAACCTTAAACTTCAGCTTGATAGAGTAGCTGATTCTGAAGCCACTCAAGCTCGCCATGCTGAATCAGCTCATTCTGAGACCCAAAGCTTAAGGATACAACTCAAAGAAACCCTTACATTGCTTCAGCAATTGCAAAACCAGTTAAACAAAAGCAAGGAATCTGAAGCTACTGTGCTTGAAGAAGTGAGTAAAGCTCAGTTGGAGTTGGAAGTCGCAAAGATGACAGGCAACACTTTACGCTCGGAAGGTCTGAAGGCAATGGAGGCTTGCAAATCCTTGGCATTGGAGTTGGAACAGTCAAAGCGTCAAGTGGCTGCATTGGAGGAACGTGTCAACAAACTCCAGTCTGATCAAAGCAGCAAAAACATGAACCTGGTAGATCCTACAGGAAGTTCTGTAGCTGCACAAGTAATTGGAATCGATGTCGAAGCTGACGAACTAAAAACTGAGTTCAGCAATCTTAAAGACGAGGTAAATCAACTAAGAGCTGCAGTGGAGGATTCTGAGAGGAAGTATCAGGAAGAATGCATTCAGAACACATTGCAGATAAGAAGTGCTTATGAGATAGTGGAGCAGACAAAATATGAATCAATTCAAAGAGAGACTGAATGGACCTCAAGGTTAAGTGCTGCAAAAGCAGCCATGGAAGAGTTAAAGGAGAAATTGATGAACACCGAAGCTGAATTAGAAATGATTTCAGATGAAAATAAGGGCCTGAATGTACAACTTGAAGTACTGTCAGTTGACCGTGAGTCTGAATTACAAGATGAACTGAAGAAATCAGAGTCGCTCTTAGCAGATTTACGGGCAAGTTTATCTGAGAAAGAGACAGAGTTGCAGAGTACTACTGAGGAAAATGAGATGCTGAAGTCAGAAATCAAAAAGAGGGAAATGGAGAGTACTAAAGTGAATGATGAGGTTCTTGCCTTGGCAGAAGCCGCTAGAATTGCTGAAAGAGAAGCCCTGATGAAGCTGGGGTATTTGAGTGAGGAAGCAGATAAAAGTAGCAGAAAAGCAGCACAAGTCCTCAAGGAGTTGGATGCAGTGCAGACAAGTAACTCTGATATGGAAGCTGAGTTGAGGAGGTTAAAAGTACAATCTGATCAATGGAGGAAAGCTGCTGAAGCAGCTGCAGCTATGCTCTCAGCTAACAATAATGGGAGATACGTTGAGAGAACAGGCTCTTTGGACTACCATACTATTGGTGGCAAGCTGCGTTCTCCGTTATCTGAAGACATGGATATTGATTACTCACCCAAGAAGAAGAATGGCACTATGTTGAAGAAGATTGGTAGTTTACTAAAAAAGGGCCACAAATAGATGCCATATCATGCATGTTTCAAATAAACATTGCTCTCTTCTCTAGTAACCATAATCTACTATTTTCCCTTCCCAGGTACTCTTGCTGAGCTTCAACCTCCTGGAAAAATCTCTTAGCTGATTTTTGTAAAAGCTATTCCAGAATTGTTGAGACCTCTATGATCTCACCTGCCACTACTGAATGTTTCTACCAAGTGTAATGAACCCCGGGCAGTTGATTAATCGGAAAATCTACTGTTTGTTCTTCAGATTTTTATGTTAAAGATAGTAATATGGATGAATTTTCTTTGTAGATTAGTGGTGTTAGGTGTGTACTTCATATATTTTTCTCGACTCATCTTCATTACGTGCAAGGGTCTAACTTAACTTTAATAGTTAGTTCACGAGAGAAGGATTGCTCAAGACTGTATAAAAAGTCCATGTTCCCATCTCACAAATAATATGGGGGCTCTAACATCGTCCCACAAGTTCATGCTTGGACGTCTAAAGCTTAAACGATATAATGTCTATCCCTGTAACCCTAAATAAAAACAAGAGAACTTGATTCACATTGTTATAAGAACTTACAAATTAGTGATACCAATGGGATTCTCGTGATAATAGAGGTGAGTTTAATTAACTATATAATTAAAGAAAAAGTAAATTGATATAATAAACAAGTTTCATACTTATTTTTGAAAAAAGTGAATTGACATAATAACCCCCACATGAAAAAAAGGGCAACTTTCACATATAGCAAACAAAAAAATCCATATTTGTATGCTATAGCAAAGTTTGTATAATTGCGCTCCATAGCAAACATAAAACTGTATAATTTGCTATATGTATACAATTGTATAATTCGCTGGCCTATTTCGCTGCAATTGTATAATTTGTTTTGCATACAGTTGAATCGAATTAAAATGTATGTATATTGCATAATATT